CTGTTATTCGTGTCATCTTCCAACTAACTGAGGAAATCCCTTGCATCTCGGCTGTAGTTGTAGCATTACTTTCTGAGCCAAAACCTAGAATTGACTATGTCTTGAAGGCGTTTGGTGGAAGTTTAACAACAATTCCTGGACTTTTAGATATGATTGAGGACACTGTAAATACAATAGTGACAGATATGCTATAATGATCGCACAATATTGTTGTTCCAATTGCACCTGTGGATACTAGTGATTTGGAACTTAAGCCACAAGGGAAGCTCACAGTAACTATTGTCAAGGTTAATGGATTGAAGAACCACAAAATGATAGGAAAATCCGATCCATATGTTGTTATACAGATACGCTCACTTTTCAAGGTTAAGACAAAAACCATTGACAACAACCTAAATCATGTTTGGGATCAAACGTTTGAACTAATTGCAGAAGAAAAAGAGACGCAATACCTATTCATTGAGGTCTTTCATAAAGACAATATCAGGCAAGACCAGCGAATGGGTGTCGCAATGTTGACTCTGAATGAGCTTGTAGCTGACGCTGCCAAAGAAATTGAATTAATATTACTGCCAAAACATGATATGCTCAAAGTCAAAGCTTAGAAGGATCGAGGAGCTATCACAATAAAGGGGTTGTATCATGAGTTTAACAAGGAAAAGCAGTTAGCGCTGCTCTAAAGGGAGAGAAGGAGATCCTAGAAGAAAGGAAGAAGCTGAAAGTAGAAGGAGTCATCGGCAGCACAATGGATGCAGTTGATTCAGGTGTCGGTATGGGGGAAGTGGCATTGGAGCAGGCGTGAGGCTCATTGGAACGGGACTAGGTTCCGGTATAGGCGTAGTTGGAAGTTGCTTTAGAGCGGTTGGCAGTGGCCTAAGAAAAGCTGGAAGATTTATAGGAAGGACATTCACTAGAAGTTCAAAGAAAAATGGTTCCTCTACTCGAGAAAGATTTTGATAATTGAAAAATATAGGAACAGATGAAAGAAACAGGTTGTTGACGTGTTCCTTACAAACCAAATCCGACTTGATTAAGGAGAGTGTCAACCTCGCGAATTAGAAGATATTGTTTTTTCAATAAGCAACCAGTACATAAAGTTTCTTTTTATAAATGAGTTTGCAATCAAGTTGAAAAAGGAATTAACGATCAATAATGTTTTCTTATTTAATTAAGGAAAGTTTTGTGGCAATATATAAAGAAAATTTTGTGGAAGGTTTTTCTTATTTAATTAAAGAAGATCGCGTAGAAGGTAGGATTTTTTGTTATCTATTTAAGGACAAAATCACGTAGGAGAAGGAGTCCTACATAGACAAGGTTTCCTTGAGGCGGCATAGTTTAAAGAAGCGTGATTTGTTTTTGCTGCAAAGACAAACAAGAATAATATTCCAAGTTCTAGTTGAGTTTAAAGAAGTCAAGTTCGAGTTGAAGATGTGGCTAAAGTTAAGTTCGAGTTGAACAAAGAGTTGAAGAAAACTGAAGGCAAGTTCGAGTTGAACTAGGACTTCCATAACTATGTTTTGGATTCAACATCAAATCTATAAATATGGAGATAGTTTTGCTTGAGAAAAATTACATGCTTATATATAGATAAGATCAAAACACGATCAAGATGACCCTGACGCCCGAGCCTGGACCTTTTTTCGATAACTAATTTTGAATCCGACTCCTAACATAACACAAACTCAAAAGTCGACCCGAGACCCGACCTTGACTCCCGATCCAAACATCCAACCGGGGATTCAATTTTTGAATCGGGTTCATACACCCAACAATCGATCGGGACCCAAGACCTGACCCGACCCGAGATTCGATCTGATACTTAACCTAGACTCCCGATCCCAATGTTCGACTTATGATCAAATTTTTGAACTAAGATCCGTCCCGAACATGAGACTTGACCTCGACCCCATATCTGACTCTAACCCGAGACCCGACTCTGACTCCCAACCACAACATTTTACTCAAGATCTAACTTTTGAATTGGAATCTACCTCTCGATACCTGACCCCGACTCAGAATCTGGCCTTGTCACAAACCAAACTCAACCCAATCTCGACTCCAATATCCTACTTAGGATCCAACTTTTGATTGGGATCCAACTCTAGACCCTCCCCCGACTCGAGACCCAATCCCAACCCAGAATTCTAGCCCTAACATATGACTCGGGATCCAACTTTTGAACAACGATCCAACCTTGAGACCCGACCCTGACTCCTGACCCCAACATCTGGTGCAAGATCCAACTTTTGAAATGGAGTCTGACCCTAACACCTGAACTGAGACTCGACTCCTCGACTTTAATTCCGATGCCTAATCTCGATACATACCCAAGTCTTGACAAGACATACAAATTGGGACCTGACTCCAACTTGGCTTGAACTTTCAACCTCAACACCTGATTCAAAAGATCCGACCCTGATACCATTCATTTTGAATGGATCTTCTTATTTTGTTTTATTATGTCAACCTAGATGCAACTCTTTAAAGAAAATTTTGTTTTATTTAGGATTGTGTGGTAAAGGTTCGCCTATCTAATTAAAGTAGAGTAGGAGCCCACACAATTTTGTAATTTGGATTGTCACAGTTGGTATTAGAACCTAGGTTACCGATCTTACAATTGTACAAGAGCAATGTCCAATAAAGTCTTGCGTCCTGCAAATTGAGAATCAGTTTTTCTTACAATTCCCTTTGAATGATTGAAGGTAGCATAACTGGTTCGTCAATAGGTTTAATTTATCAAATTATCAAAACTAGGCATAGTACTTCAACGTCTATATTTCATCAATTTCTCCACTTTTGATGATGACAAACAACATATAATGACAATTATCACTATCACTAGCAACCATATTGGTTCTCCTTATTATCAACACATATCAGTTGCTCATATCATTAGTATACCAGTTCCTCTGTCTTAAGCATAAGTCTTGCCTCACACAAAACATTGCTTTTTGGTATCATCAGAAAGAGTGATCAGTAACATGAGTAAAAGTGAGAATAGGCAACGTTAACACTTGGCTGCTAGAGCAATACTAACATGAGTAAAATCAACAAAACATGTAACAAGGAGAATATCACTACATATTATCAAAGAAAGCCTATTTCCATATAGATTAAAAGTTAGCATTCAAAACAGTACAAATAAAATCATCAAAATTGTTATGCAAAGAAACTCTGTTATGCTTGAAGAGTCCAGATTAAACATAGTTATGGTGGATTAAATGAAGGCTCTGGAGGCAATTTAAAAAGAGTGATGGCTGCGAATTTGTGTTAATATATCCTCATGTACTCCTTCATATCTTATGTTAGCACAAATTTGTTTGTTGTTCCCTTTACGTGACATCTACTGATAATTTTGAAGTAATACTAGATCCCTCAATAATATGTGCACCTCTTTTTTCTTTTGGACGAGAGTTCACCTTTTCTTTTCTGAATCTAGATCATCCTTCTAGGTTTCATGTAGATTTTGCATGTTTAGTCTCAACTAGCCTCTTGAATTGGTATTTTTCTCTCCAATATTCCTTTCCCATCACGGAAAACTTAATTCAAAATTGGACAAGTATGTGTAAAGACCGAGTATAAGTTGAAAGACATATTTTATTAATGAAGACAGAAAGTTGTTAAATAGAGCTATAAAGCAAATACTCCTAAACGAACTGTAATGAAACCAATTTGGTATCCTAAAAAACAGGGATAGGAACTACTGAAACTTAATACAGACTAAATAACTAAAGTGGCTCGTGATGTTCCAATAGTATCATCCTCATTACTTCCTCCTCAACAACAGAATTTTTAGAGAGGGAAAAAAGAAATGATTGGGAAGGAGGAATTGTGAGGAATAAAAACATAAAAGAAAAGGAGAGGGGATCTAAGTAATGTGCCAAAACAAGAGATGCCGATTAGGATGGCTTGAGACACAACGTCGTTTCTGCAACAGTGACAGCGAGTTTAAAGCTATGGAAGCTGTGACAGTTGACTTGTTCGACGTGTCTTGGTGCGTACCTGTCCCCTCATCTGTTCCCCTATGAAATAAGATCCCTCTGAGAGAGAGTTCCCCTAGGGAGTATTCTCCCTTATATTAGCATTTCAATCAAATAATAGATCAGCTTGGTGCCTATCTGGTTCCTTGGCAAGTTTATCATATCATCAAAGCAAAACATACTACCACAGTGACTATGTATCATCATATAGAGTTCACCACATACAAGCTCCAATTATGGAATTTCGAAATTAGGAGTGAGTCACTTTTCAATTGTGGGAAATGGAACACTATAATTTGTGGAATGGATCGAATTGTGTACATTTAGGTGCTTACAATATTTATTTTGCCAAACCGAATATAGGCCTGTAGAAGGTTGAGTGTTACTACATTGTAGACTTGACATGCCTAGTCAAGGACATGGCACGGGGATTTATTAAGGATGTCCAAAGGACAAGTTGGATTATTGTCTCAATGTTTCTTCCCGGAAGGAATTGTTTATACAGAAAGTTTGATCTCTCCAAAATCACTTATTTAAGATTTTCTTATATATGACCAAAACACATTTCTTTTTCTCTTTATTTACGAAATCTTGTAAGAGCCTATTTCCGGTAAGTTTATCAATTGCTCGCATTTTTTTGGTTCCGAAATGTATTTATCAAAGTTGTCAGAGAAGTGATTGAAGCCGTGACTTTACTTTATTTTACCTATTACTGATTGTCTAATGCTACTAGTAATACACTGTTTATTCCAAGAAGATTTATGTATTGGATTTCAAATTAAATTATAAGTTACGTGATCAGTTAATGCTTATGACTTCTCACCAATGCCAATAATTTGTGTCCTTTGAATGAAGAGTTAGGACTCAAAGCTGGTAGATCAATTTATGATTCAAAATATTTAACCATTAAGGTTTTTGGCACTAAATTCATATTGTACTTTGAAAATTGTACGTGCAACTCAACTATTCTACATAGTAATTGCTATCCGTATCAAACAACTTCGCAAACACCACAAGGAATAGAACAAAATGGAGTCAAGAAAATGGTAATTTTGATGAATAATAAATATTGACATTCTATATATACACTTGTTTAGTACCATGTATCTACTATAAAAATTGTTACAGTTAGCTTAACAAACTAACAATTCTAGATTTCGTCGTTCTTGAAGGTATGAAGCAGATGAACATTGATTGGAAGGTACAGAAACAAGCAAAGCATTCTGAAGATCAGCGGCTACACCTCTTTTGACGAGTGATATGATATAGTTCATGAACAGTGCATCACATGGTAATGTAATAGGACCATAACTTGGAAGTCCAAACTCTTCTTCAGACATGTGCAACAGTTGTCTGATTACGTCATGTTGAAGATAAGCCAATGGAACCACAAATCGCTTTTGATCGGTTGTATACACCACAAAGTGGCCTCTGTCAACTATGGAAGATGATGTGCTACAACTCTCAGCATCATAGTAATTGGATCTTGGAAAAGAAATTCTCTTCCTCTGCTTAGCTGCAAACTTTTGCCATTTCCTTGCCATCTTGATGAGTTTCTTGGCGCTTATCATACTGATTTCTTTGAAATATCGGAAAAGAAAAGTTGATTATCTTTTAAAAGATTTGATTTAGAGTTATCTGCTTGATGATCAAACCAGCTTTTGGAAACACATTATATATAGTTGAGACTTTGAATTATAGCTAAAGCTGCCAACCTGGAATAAGTATGCTAGACAGAATCATGTGATGCTGTTTAATATGGGACCTAAGGACTTGTGAACATGGCTGGTTGTGCATTTATTCACTCCTCTATCACCATAAAACCAAGTGGTCCTGGACTAATTAATCAACTTTAATAACAACAGAGAAGGTTAACCATGTGAGATTTCATGTGCTATTTTCTTTCCAGTTACCACCAATTTCTCTCAACCACTAAACATTTGGATATGAAACTTGTCATAAATTTATATATAATCAGAGCCAAACATTTCAGCACAACACAAGTATCCTGACATTCAAAGAACTTTCATTTTATATATCCGTGATCCTCCAAGTTTGTTTTCTTTCTTTTCCTTCATCAATTAGTATTAGAAAATACTCCTTGAGACAATGGGTATCAAAGTGACTCCATTTGTTCAAGCTAATCGGTTCTTAAGGAGGTCTAATGGAGGTGTTCCAAAAGGATGTTGTGCAGTATACGTAGGAGAGAGCCAGAAGAAGAGATTCGTCGTGCAAGTGTCTTACTTGAGCCAGCCTTTATTTCAAGACCTGTTAGCTCAGGCTGAAGAAGAGTTTGGCTTTGATCATTCGATGGGTGTTCTTACAATACCTTGCAAAGAGGATGTGTTAGTTGATGTTACTTCCCGCTTAAGAAGATCATGAGTAGTATCATAGTGCAAATTCTTCAACGAATGAGATTTTGTAAAGCATTAGGATTAGAAATTAGAAAGAGGAGATTGTAGAAACAGCAATTTTATTGTATAGTTGTGAACCACCAGAACTTTGGAGGGATAAACCCGTGTAAATTTAAGTTACATACTTCACAAAGATTATGGGTTAACAGATTATCTATTATATTTCTGAATCTACACCTTTATATTGCTCTAAACGTTGCCCTTTTATCATGTCTTTGCATTTTCAAACAGCAAAACTTTCAGTTTTACATCTTTAATCTAATCTATAGACTATTCTTCGTTCATTCATTCCGTCAAGAAAATAAATGATAACTTTGGACTCTTAAAGAATCATGCAACGCTTTCATTCTGTATTTGATCATACCAAAGAATGACAATCATCATAGTGCTCCTTGACCCCTTCCATTTAGCAGATTTTCTTATCTTAGCGTGGCCAGTTGAATATGCATCATGCTGAGTAGTATAATACATAAAAACAGTAAATGCATTCTATGTTGGAACCTTTTTTCTTTACTTTTTTCTCGTAGATCGACTGCGGAACAGGAGTGGAAGGAAAGGATTAACTTCCTTTTTCGATGTACAACATTAATAATTATTTTGGACTTCATAATGTTTGGCTGTTATTATTGTAATTGCTTGTAAATTGAAACTTTTTAGTTAAAATTGTTTGTAAATGTACTCAGAGGATAAGCTTAGCAAGAAATGAAGACTAGATCATCTCGGATGAAATTAGTCTTTTACAGAATCTGAAAAAGCTGGTGCATACTTTTGCAATTTTGTCAATTGTCTTTTCGAGAAAGTTCACTTTTATCTTGATTGAAAGAATGATTAAATTGAAGATTTTGACATATCTTTCTATGTATTGGAAAAAGTTCCTTATCCCCTGGATGTGAAAGCCACAAGATAGATATTCGCGGTGCAAGACTATTCGGAAGCCAATAAAAAGAAACAAGAATCTCCAATTTGAAGGCAAAATATGCAGTTTAATTCTGATTAGAATTTAGATGTGAAAATTGTATACACCTTCGAGTATTATGGTACAAAATTTATCACAGTTAGATTAACAAACTAGCAATTGCGGGTTTCTTTGTTCTTCTAGATATGAAGCTGATGAGCATCGACTGGAAGCGACTGTTACAAGCAAAGCATTTTGAAAATCTGTAGATACACCTCTTCTGATGAGTGATATAATGTAGTTCATGAATAGAGCATCACACGGTAACGTGATGGGGCCATCACTTGGTAGTCCAAACTCTTCAGACATGTGCAACAGTTGTCTGATTACCTCGTGTTGAAGATAAGCCAACGGAACCACAAATCGCTTCTGATCGATTGTATACACCACAAAATTCCCTTTAGCAACTATAGAAGATGATGTGCTGCAACTCTCTGCATCATTGAAATTGGATCTTGGAAAAGAAATTCTCTTCCTCTGATTCACTGCGAACTTCTGCCATTTCCTTGCCATCTTGATGAGTTTCTTAGCACTGATCATGTTGATTTATTTGAAATAATGGAAAAAGTTGATAATATTTTAAAAGATTGATATAGTGCTGTCTGCTTGATGATCAAAATGGCTCATGGAAAGAGATTATATATAGTTGTTGAGCCTTCAGAATGGTTAAGACAGAATCATGTGATGCGGTTTGATATGTGACCTAAGGACTTATGGAGATTGCTGGTTGTTGTGAATTTATTCATTTCTCTGCCACCATATTTTTAAACCAAGTGGTCCTGGTTTCATTCAAACCTAATTAATCAACTTATCCTTTCTTGTGGATGTCACTGTAAAGGTTTCTTCTTTTGTTCCAAATCATGAGAAGTAGTAGGGCCTAATTTTGTACATCTAACAAATTTATGATCTGAATACTTTAACAACAACAGAGAAGGCAAACCATGTAATTTTTCATGTGCCGTCGTCTTTCCAGTTTCCACCAATTTCTCTCAACCACTAAACATTTGGATATGAAACTTGTCATAAATTTATATATAATCAGAGCCAAACATTTCAGCAGAACACAAGTATCTTGATACTCAAAGAACTTTCAATTTATCTGTGATCCTCCAAGTTTTTTTTTTTGCTTTCTTTTCCTTCATCATTTAGTATTAGATAATAATCGTTGAGACAACGGGTATCAAAGTACCTCCATTTGTTCAAGCTAGTCGGTTCTTAAGGAGGTCCTCAACATATGAAGGTATTCCGAAAGGACATTGTGCAGTATACGTATAAGAGAGCCAGAAGAAGAGATTTGTCGTGCCAGTCTATTACTTGAGCCAGCTATTTCAAGATTTGTTAGCTTAGGCTGAAGAAGAGTTTGGCTTTGATCATCCGCTAGGTGGTCTCACAATACCATACAAAGAGGATGTGTTTGTAGATCTTGCTTCCCACTTAAGAAGATCACGAGTAGTATCATAGCACACATTCTTGAATGAATGAGACTTTGTAAAGCAATAGGATTAGAAATTAGATAGAGGAGATATATTGTAGAAATAGCAATTTCATTGTCAAGTAACAGATTTGAAAAAGAGAATCGGTTAACAGATTATCTATATAGATTTCTGAATCTACACCTTTATATTGCTCTAAAGGTTGCTCTTTTATAACATATTTTCATCTTCAAACAGCAAAACTTTCAAGTTCTAAATCTTTAATCTACTTTATAGCCTCTTCTTTGTTCAACAAATCATTCCCATCAAACAACTAAATGTTAGACTTTCAATTCTTAAAGAAATGCTTAAAGATTTCTAGTCATGCGCTTGATAATACCAAAGAGTAATAAACTTCTAGAGGTTAAGATAAAAATGAGTCCAATAAACTCAGTCAGAAAGCGTAGTCTCGGCAGAAGCTTTTTATCTTAGCTAGGCCAATTAAATATGCATTGGGTTGAGAAGTATAATACATAAAACAGTAAATTCTTTAGATTGTGAAGCCTTGAGAAACGGACCTCCTATGTTCAATCCTTTTCTCTTAATTTTTTTTCTCTCTTGGATGGACCACAGAACAGGAGTGGAAGGAAAGGATCAACTACCTTTTTCAATATGCAACATTACTATGTTCTTTTGGACTTCAAAATGTTATTAATGCAATTGATGTAAATCAAAACTTGATAGTTAAAAGTTAAAATTGCAGATAAATTTACTCAGAATACAAGATTAACAAGATTACTTTCTTTGATATGGGAAAATCTCCTTATCCGTGAATGTGAAAGACACAAGCTAGATATTTGTGGTGCAAGGTTATTAGAAAGCCAATGAAAAGAAACAAGAATTTCCTAAATGATCATGGAATAGATGAATTTGAAGGCAAGAATGTGGAGTTTATGATTAAAAATTAGATGTTAATATTCTATAAGTATCACGTTACAAAATTTATCACAGTTAGCTTAACAAACTAACAATTCCAAATGTCGTTGTTCTTGAAGGTATGAAGCTGATGAGCATCGACTGGAAGCGACTGTTACAATCAAAGCATTTCAAAAATCTGCAGATACACCTCTTCGAATGAGAGATATAATGTAGTTCAAGAATAGTGCATCAAACGGTAACGTAATGGGGCCATCACTTGGAAGTCCAAACTCTTCTTCAGACATGTGCAACAGTTGTCTGATTACCTCATGTTGAAGATAAGTCAACGGAACCACAAATCGGTTCTGATCTATTGAATACACCACAAAATGATTTTTGTCAACTACAAAAGCTGATGTGCTGCAACTCTTTGCATCATTGGTATTGGGTCTTTGAAAAGAAATTCTCTTCCTTTGATTCGCTGCGAATTTCTGCCATTTCCTTGCCATCTTGATGAGTCTCTTAGCACTAATCATGATTTCTTTGGAATATAGGAAATAAAAAGTTGATGATCTTTTATAAGATTTTATTTACTGATATCTGCTTGATGATCAAATGGCTCATGGATGCAGTTTATTTATATCTAAGGATAGAAAATGAATTTATATTGTAGCTCCAGTTGTCAAATGTGAGTTAGGCATTAAGGGCAAAATCATGTGCTGCTATTGAACATAGGACCTATTTATTCAATTCTCTGTCACCAATATCTTTAAATCAAGTGGTTCATGACTAAATCATCAATTTCATTCAGTCTTGTGGCTCTTAATTTTAAGGGTGTTTTCTGTTCCAAATTATGAGAAGCAGAGGGGTCTAGTGTTGTTCTTCAGCAAATTTATGGATGATAATCGAGTAGGCAAAACCACGGGAGGATTCATGTGCCGTTGTCTCTCACCAGTTAGGTATGAAACTTGCCATTAACTTATGTGTTTATTGAGACACACGAAACAAGAATCATGATGTTCAAAAGATGTCAAAAGTGTTGGAATTAATGTATCAATGTTTAATTTTTCAAAATTGTCTTTTTGTTTTTTAAAAAGTCTTTTTAGAATTTCGTAGTACATGTAGTTAGTAAATTGTGATACATGTATTTAGTTATTTGTGCAAGAATTTTTATTTTCTATTTTGAGTAGTATAAATAGTGATGTAATTGATGATTGTAATTATCTCAAGTGACCTTAAGTAGCCTATAATAAACTTAAGCATTTTCTAAAGATATTATTTTTCCTTTCATACTTCCTACAAATTGGTATCAGAGCAGGTTTTCGTTCTTAATCTGGGGTTAGCTGAAGAAAAAAATATGGCATCCAAAACAAATGAAGGTGCTGATTCTTCAGTTGTTCTTACTCCATTTTTTATGGAACTGATTTTGAATACTGAAAGATAAGAATGAGAACAAATTTGAAAGCTGAAGGTTTGTGGACTATTGTTGCAAATGCCTTTGAAGAGCTAGAAAACGATGGTAATCTTACAGCACCAGAGATGAAAAATCTTGAGGCTAAGTATCGTCAAGATGCAAAAGCCTTGAGCGAAATCCAAATGGGAGTCTCAAGAGCATATTTTGCAAAAATTGTTACTTGTGAGACTGCAAAGGAAGCTTGGGATTTTCTGAAAACTGAGGTGTATGGTGACGAAAAGGTACACACTATAAATCTTCAAAGTCTTAGAAGAGAGTTTTAAAATTTTAAGATGATAGAATCTGAAAAAATTGATGAATATTGCACAAGAATCATGAATATTGTTAATAAAATGAGAAATCATAGTGATATAATTTCTGTCCAACAAGTTGTGGAAAAGATTCTAATTAGTGTCACAGAAAAGTATGAGTACATCGTTGCTATCACTTAGGAGATGAAAGATCTTTCTAAGCTTTCCATCAAAGAGCTAGTTGGATCATTTCGTGCACACGAGAAGCCAAGATTTTTTCATGAAGATCAACCCAAAGAGACGGCTTTCCAGTCTAAAATAAATGAGAATTCTCAAAATTTCTCCAAAAATCATCAGAAGAAAAATCACAAGCCAAAAAAGAAGCAGGATCATGATGGTTCTTCCAAGAAGGTTGAAGAAAAAGGTGAGAAAAACTCAAGTCTTTTTTGTAAAGTTTGTAAAAAGACTAATCATAATGCAGAAAAATGTTGGCAAAAAGGCAAGCCCCAATGTAACTTTTGTAAGAAGTTTGGTCAGGTTGAAAAGGATTGTTGGCACAAGAAACGGGAGCAAACAAATTTTTGTGAAAAACAGGAGGAAGAAAGGAAAAAAAACATTTTCTTTGCTTTTAAATCTGATGCTTCAACAAAAAGCAATGAATGGTATGTTGATAGCGGTTGTAGTAATCACATGACTGGAGATGAAAAGGCTTTCCTCTCAATTAATAAAAGCATCATTACTAAAGTGAAGATGGGGAATGGAGCCTTAGTTGATGCGAAAGGTAAAGGTACTATTTCAATCAACATGACCAGATGCGGTAAGCAAATTCATGATGTTCTTTATATTCCTGACTTGGAAGAAAATTTGCTTAGTGTTGGTCAACTCATGGAAAATGGTTATTCTCTTGTGTTTAGAGATAATTATTGCAAGATTTATGATAAAATTGAGCCAAATCAAGTCACTGTTGAAGTAAAGATGATAAAAAGAAACTTCCCTTTGCAATTTCATTATAATGCATTAAAAAATAAAATTGTAGATGATTCATGGCTTTGCAAAGATTTTGTCACTTGAATTTTCATGGTTTAAAGCTTCTCAAGCAAAAGGACATGGTGCAAGGCCTTCCTGAGATACATACTGAGGTGGATACATGTGAAAGTTGTATAATGGGAAAGCAACATAGGAAATCTTTTCTAAAAGGAGTGTCTTGGAGAGCAATTGAATTTTTGGAACTAATTTATACCGACATTTGTGGACCAATGAAGACTCCATCTCTTGGAAGTCAAAGGTATTTTCTAATATTTATTGATGATTTCTCAAGAATGACTTGAGTTTATTTCTTGAAAAAAAAGTCAGAAGCATTTGCTACATTCAAGAAATTTAAAGCCCTTGTTGAGAAGCAAAAAGGTTGCAGCATCAAAACCATTCACTCTGATCGAGGAGGTGAATACACAAGTCGAGAATTTGAAGAATATTGCAAAAATGAAGGCATTCAGAAGCAACTTACAACAGGTTATATTCCTCAACAAAATGGTGTATCTGAAAGAAGAAATTAAACAATTGTTGAAATGACCAGAACTATGATGATTGAGAAAGGGCTGCCAAAATATTTTTGGGCAGAAGCAGTGCATACAGCAGTTCACATCCTTAACAGGTGTCCAACAAAGGCACTAAAGGACAAGACACCAGTTGAAGCTTGCAGTGGAATTAAACCTTCTGTAAGTCATTCTAAAATTTTTGGGTGTATTTGTTATGCTCATGTACCTGATGAGAAAAGAACAAAATTGGATGAAAAAAGTCAAAAATGTGTCTTTCTTGGATATAGTGATGTTACAAAAGGATATAGGCTTCTCGATGTCAAAACTAACAAACTTGTTGTTAGTAGAGATGCCATTTTTGATGAAAAAATAACATGGAATTGGGAGGAAAAAAATATAGAGAATACTGCTATCATATCTTCAAATCAAGAAGAGGATGAGAAAGATGAAGATGTCTCTCAAGGGGGGGAAATCCCAAATTCAGATAATGAAAAACTGCCTCCAAGAGGAACAAAAATATTGAGTGACATTTATCAAAGATGTAATTTTACCGGTGTTGCGCCGAAAAATTATGAAGAAGCAATAAAGCATGATGTTTGGAAGAAATCCATGGAAGAAGAAATTTGAATGATCAAAAAAAAAATACTTGGGAACTTGTGGCTATCCCTAGAGAAAGAGAAGTTGTAAGTCTAAAATGGATTCACGAAATCAAACTCAATCAGGAAGGAGATATTCAAAAGTACAAAGCAAGGTTGGTTGCTAGAGGCTTCACGCAAAAATCAGATATTGATTTTTATGAAACTTTCTCTCCAGTTGCTCGTCTTGAGACAACTAGAACTGTAATTGTTGTTGCTGCACAAAGAAATGGAAGATATTTCAACTTGATGTTAAATCAACATTTCTGAATGGAAAACTTGATGAAGAGATTTATGTTGAGCAACCTCAAGGATTTTTTGTTCAAGGAGGAGAAGAAAGGTGTATAGACTAAAAAAAGCTCTTTACGGGCTGAAGCAAGCTCCAAGAGCCTGGTACAATGAAATTGATACATACTTTCTGAATAATAATTTTTAGAGAAGTAAAAGTGAAGCCACTTTGTATGTGAAGAAAGAAAATGGCAGCATTATCATTGTTTGTCTCTATGTGGATGATTTGATTTTTACAGGAAATGATGTAAAGATGATGCAAAATTTCAAACAAGATATGATGCAAGCTTATGAAATGAGTGATCTTGGATTGCTAAATTATTTCTTGGGCATCGAAGTTTCTTAAGTGATAGAAGGAATTTTTATTTCTCAAAAGAAGTATACTAAAAGTATTCTTCATAAATTCAAAATGATGGATTGCAGGTCTATGGCCATACCATTAGCAGCAAATGAATAGTTTAGAAAAGATGATGGAGAAAAGAAAGTTAATAGCTCACTTTTTAGGAGTTTGATTGGAAGTTTTCTATATCTTACTTCAACAAGGCCAGATATTATGTTTGCTGCTAGTTTATTATCCAGATTCATGCAAGAACCAAGCCAAGTGCATATTGGAGCTGCAAAGTGTATTCTACGCTACTTGCAAGGAACAATAGATTATGGGATAATGTACAAATTCGGTGGAAATTTAAACTTAATTGGTTATTCTGATAGTGATTGGGCTGGAAGTATAGATGACATGAAGAGTACTTCTGGTTATGCTTTCTTATTTGGATCAAGCATTTGTTCTTGGTTATCAAAAAAGCAAAGTGTTATTGCTCAATCAACTGCCGAAGCAGAATATGTTTCTGAATCCAAGGCTACTTCTCAATCTATTTGTCTTAGGAGAATATATGAAGACATTGGTGAAAAACAAAAAAAATGGATTGTTCTGTATTGTGATAACAACTCAGCAATGCAATTGCCATGAATCCAGTCAGCCATGAAAGATCAAAGCATATTTCCATCAAGTATCATTTTATCCGAGAAGCAAAGAGAAAGGCAAAATTCAGTTGCATTATTGTCAGACAGGAGAACAACTTGCTGACATCTTCACCAAAGCACTTCCTAGAGAAAAACTTTGCTATCTTCGAGAACGCATTGGAGTTATCAAGCAAATGCATTAAGGGGGAGTGTTGGAATTAATGCATCAATGTTTAGTCTTCCAAAATTGTCTCTTAGTTTTTCAAGAAGTTTTTTTAGAATTTCGTAGTACATGTATCTAGTAAATTGTGATACATGTATTTAGTTATTTGTTCAAGACTTTTTATTTTCTATTTTGAGTAGTATGAATAGTGATGTAGTTTATGA